AACTGACAGGAGGCTCCTCCAGAAAGACAGGCTCTGCAAGAAGACCTGCAGTACTTTGAAACCAGTCAGGGTGCCTGTGTGGAAAGAGGGTGATATCTGGTAAGCTAGAAATTCATATACATTGTTTATTGTTTTAAGATGTGGTTTCCCTAGAGCTTTTGTTATGAAAACATAATATGTTGTTTTATGAAGTCAGACTGGTCACAGCTTAACCCTGTCATTGCCCTTGAGAGAACAGGACTGCAGGTGCTGAACTAAAGTCAGACATGCCAAGGTGATGACAGTGAATTAAAGGGGAAATTGCAACATAAAGCCCTGGTCTAGAGGGAGAGAGGAACAGGACTTCATATCTAGAAATGGCTGAGGCCTGAAATCTAAGTGGGGTACCTTGAAGGATACCTCAAAGGAGTTCAAGGTACAGTTTCTTCAGAAACTTTGACATCATCCAAAACATGAGATGTGGTAAAGTCATAACTTTATTGCTACTTTTCTTTAGTACCTACTGATACCTATTTTTGAAGCATCAGATGAGTTCCTAGTGGACAATGTGCATTATCACCAAATCCATCATGGCTATTAACAGTTGAGTCCCATTGGCAGTTTCCAGGACTGTCAATTTGGCATTTTTCATAATTAGGATGTATACAGCAACAAAAATTCTGTGCCTGGCTAGGAAAACAATTGCTATGATTACCAGTGTTTCTCATGCCTTTGATGCTGAGAGTGCTGCTTTCCATAACTGATGATATAACCATGAAATATGAATCTTTTAACTTGCCCAACAAAAGAGGATGCCCAATAAAAATCTACCTTTAAAAAACTAAAAATCTTTCACTCTAACAATAAATTAACATCAAAGACATTTCCAGTCGATTTAATATACACTTAATTGTTATTACTAATCTTTTACAGTACCTAAGTACTAAGACTGCTGAGGAACTTCCCATTAGGATGTAAGTTGTCTAGGTGTAAAAAGGGGAAATATGTTTCCTTCTCCTGAAACACTCCAATATCAGTCAAGCTGAAGAGAAGAAATGTATGGTGAGTGAGGGTATGAAAAAACAAAACAAATGAGATCACAGATAAGCTCCTCTGCCCCACGGTTATCTGTTTCAGCTTGAGCCTTTATTGTTTTATCATTGTAATATCCAGACATTCTAATCAAGATCATCTACTATTAGAGACATATTAGACACCAGACAAACAGATAGGAAGACATGCTCCGTATCTGAATAAGTTTACAAAGATGAAAAAAGCATATGAAGGCAGAAGAGAAGACTGTACAACTGGGTGTACTCTTTCATATAAGTTACATAGGTCATTTGGGGGAGGGATGTGAGGAAATGTATTGCATATCAGTTACACCTGACTACTACAACCTAATTTTAATTAGGACATTTTTCCAGGAAAAAAATCAAATATTACAGATGAAAATGGAAACATTTTAATTCAGAAATGCTGCTGTGAGTTGTAGTTCTGATGCCTCATTCTCTTCTGTAAACCGAGTTGTCTGGCCAGGCTACATTTCCTATGATGCACTATAGGCAGGGATTCAACCAGCCCTAATAATTTTTGCCCTTGGAATACTGGAAGTAGATTGTCAACAGTATTATACACTCTATTGAATTAGTGATTTCTTGTTTATTGTATATGGTACATACTTCAGCCTGCATGAGATTACCTTGCTATAGTTTATTTAAAGCATTACATATATCAATAATCTAGTATTTTAAATATGTAGCCCAGCAATCCTAATCTAGTGCAAAATACTGGTCAGGTTGGCATGATGAAATACATGTGATCATGAGACACTACTGTGCAGACACAATCCCTTGCAAAATACAGTTTACATATGTACCATCCTTTTGATAATGAGCCTTTTTTGATAATGAGATATCATTATCAAGTAGCCAGATGGCAAAATACAGACTATAATTCACAGAAAGGAATTTGGCACAGATCATCATCTCCAATCTGACTCCTACACCCCAGGAACAATAAAAATATTAACAGCAAGGAAGTTTGTGGGCAGGAAAATAAAACTCTGTCCTCCCTACTCCCAAAGAGTTGTTCAAACAAGAGGTTTCAATCATTGCAAACTCACTGATATGCAAAATGGCACCTAGCAAAGGCCTCAAGAAAGGCATTGAAACCCAAACCACAGCAGCCCCAGAACAGTGAACAGCCTGAGCACGTACCCTGGTTTAAGACATAAGTGATTTCTTTATGAGCTAGTATAAGAGCATAGAATGAGACAATATTAGCACATAGTATAGTTTAGGCACCATTCTGAGAAAACCAGAAGATAAACTTCTACCACAAGCAGAGAAAACAAGATCTAAGGAACACTGTCAAGTTCTGTTTTATAAAAGTGTTCAGATACCAAAGTGATGTGCAAAGTATAAGAAATAAAACAGAATTTGCAGAAAATTTACCATTGGTAATTATCAGGAATACGGATGGATAAACCCACTAAAAAGAATCAAACAAAGCAAATAAACTGCCAAAATCCCTGTAACATTTCTGATCAGATAAATTCCCAGTAGCCCTTCTGTTTTTCCCTGTTTATGTCCATCTTTCCAGTTCATTTGCTACTTCAAGATAATTAATTTAGGATTGAATAAGGATCTTAACTAGATCACACACCAAAAAGGCAATTTTCCCTCTCTTGATATTCACATCTCCACATCAAATGCTGTGAATGAGACACATCCACCCTAACTTGATCAGCTTCATTACCTCCAGTCCCACACTTGACAAGTAACTTCTTTTTGTTGTTCTTATATATACTCCTGTCTCTGTAATTTCCACTCCAACTCATCTGATGAGGTGGATTTTACCCATGTAAGCGTATACCCTAATAAATCTGTATAGGCTATGCTTACTCTACCAGGTTATTTTGAAATAAGTTATTTCAAACTAATAACTCCTGAAATAACTATTTCAAAATAAGCCTATTCTTCTTCACAAGCAGAAGTTATTATTTCAAAATAACAAGCTCATTATTTTGAAATAACAGGTTTGGTAGTGTGGATGCTTGCCTTGTTATTTTGAAATAAGGGCAGTTATTTCAAAATAACAGGCTGGTTATTTTGAAATCTGTACTCCTGCTTTCCTTGGGATATGTGTATTATTTTGAAATAACTGCCATTATTTCAAAATAACACAATGCATATCTACACTACAAACTTTTATTTCGACATAATGTCAAGCAGGAGGACTTCTTACTCCAACTCCTGTAACTCTCATTTCATGAGGAGAAAGGGTGCATCTACACTGCACCATTATTTTGGAATAACTAGCATTATTCTGAAATAACAATGCAAGTGTCTACACAGCAATTCAGTTATTTCAAAATAATATCAAAATAATGGGCAGCTTATTCCGACTTCTGAACATCATTCCACAAGGAATAATTCCTTTTCCGAAATAGCTATTTCGGAATAGCTCCAGTGTGGATGCCCCATTGCTGCTATTCTGAAATAGCTCCTTACCAGACGATTCTAAGTAATTTCTCCCCGATGCTTCCTGCATCTCTAAATCGAGATAGCTCATCCACATTAGGGGAGCCTGCCTCGAACTAACTTCGAGGCTTCCCTGTAGTGTGGATGTTCTATTTCGAAATAAGCTATTTTGGAATATATCTTTCAGAATAGCTTATTCCAAAATAAGTGTTTAGTGTAGACATACCCCTTCAACTGTCAAGTTCAAGTGTCTTCCTTCAACTTCCTGCTGTGTAGACAACACCAAAAGCTGAGCTAAGCTATTTCAACTTTAGCTTCACAATTGACATAGCTGAAGTTTCATATCTTGATTCGACTTTTGCCCTGCAGTGTAGACGTGCCCTTGAGGAATAAGCTTATTTTGAAATAGTTATTTTCGGAGTTATTATTTTGAATTTAGTTATTTCAAAATAATTTCCTAGTGTAGACATGCCCTAATATGCTACAGCACTCTTCATTGTTCTTGTCCTCCCAAAATACACTTTCATTTGATCACAGAAATCATAGTTGAAAAAGATTTAGGCTGTGTCTACACTGGCATGAATTTCCGGAACTGCTTAAAATGGAATACTATTCCGTTTTCAGTTTTTCCGGAAAAGGACCGTCTACATTGGCAGGCTGCTTTTCCGGAAAAGCCCTTTTTCTGGAAAAGCGTCTGTGGCCAATGTAGATGCGCTTTTCCGGAAAAGAGCCCCGATCGCCATTTTCGCGATCGGGGCTTTCTTCTGGAAAAGATTACTGGGCTGTCTACACTGGCCCTTTTCCAGAACAGTGTTCCGGAATAAGGACTTATGCCCGAGCGGGAGCAGAATAGTTTTTCCGGAATAGTGGCTGATTTTGTACAGTAGAGCATCGTTGCTTTTCTGGAAATTCAAGGGCCAGTGTAGACAGCTCGCAGCTTATTCCGGAAAAGTGGCTGATGTTCCGGAATAAGTGGCCCAGTATAGACACAGCCATTGTGTTATCCTCAGCCAATGCAGGATTGTTTCTAACAAACACTATCTTAATACTTCATCAAATCTTAATGAAAGTGTTTGTTCTTATTTATTTTCACTATTTCCTCTAGACAAGTCCATAGCATGCTATAGTAGATCTAATCTTCCTGATATTCAGCCCAAGCTTTCCCTTCCTTTTATTCCTTTGTCCTCAATTATAATCCATATCCCAAAATAATAATTCCTCTCCTTCCCTTAGGGTTATACCATTCAAAAATGTGTAGATTGGTATTTCCCTCATCCTTTCAAATATTATTTGCCAAACTTTGCACTCATGTGCAAGTTTAGAATTTCAATCTAGCTGGGTGCTTCTAGCTGTATTATTTGCTTGTATGTTTACTTTGGGAATTTTTCAAAATATGAGGGCTTATGGTCTCTAGAGAAGATCAAAGGAAAGTGGTTACTAGAGAGGTTCCTGGAGATGGGGTAATACTGCCTGCAGTAGTAAATTGATAATTGATTGATGACATTAAATTTCCTCAGAGAAGATGAGAGGAATATGGTGAGACTGGGGAAAATCTCTATAGTGGAACCAAGGATCTGGGATCTTGGGCCTATCTACCAATCTTATGAGCATATTAGAATATGTGCATTGTTGTTGATGTTGTTTTTAAAGCTGTAGCAGGCAACCAGTAAGGAGTGGTTCTGAGAAGAAGCTATGCTACAAAGCAAAGAGCAAGAGAGTCTACTGGAATAGTGATAGAAATGTAGCCGTGTTAGTCTGGTGTAGCTGAAACAAAAAACAGGACTTGATTCTTTGGCAAAGTGTGCTTACATAATAGAATACAGCAGTAATTCAAGGATACAAAGGAAAGCACTTTGCCAAAGAATCAATGCCCACAAAACAGATATTAGACAGGATCACAAAGAAAAAACAGTTTCATGCTGTTGCAACCAGAAAGGACATTGTCTCAATG